TTAGAAAAATGGTTTCCACATCCACAAAGGATCCATTTTTCTTTTTTTTTTTCCGTGAGGTGGCCCATTTTTCATTGGAGAATCTCACCTTGTATTCGTATTCTTCTACTTGCAGTTTTCACCCCATTTGATGCTTGTACAACCCAATCTCCTATATATTAATTAAGAAAAAGTAAATCATAAACACCATGAGAACTATATTGAAGATGACTGATTTTAAGTGGATGAAATCATTAAAAAAACTACCTCCATCCCTTTGCAAAGCACTGGAGACGTTTAGCGTATGGACCAAAGTACCATTGGTTTTTCGCGATGAAGTCATGATATATCTGAATGATACATTGCTTATCAAAATTCCATTCCGAAACCAGTTGACTCTGAGGTCATCGAGGTCTTTGATCTTTACTTGAAACCACAACGATTTCCCTTCACGCACCACTGACTCGCTACTTTTGAAGGATATGATATCAATCGATTCTGTGAGATGAAATACCATTCTATAAATATATTTAAGTACAGACCTTCTCGAATATTTCAAAAATAAAAGACATATCAGAAATGAGTTTTTATTTGTGTTTGTCTTAATTTAAACCTTATTCAATTTATAATTTTTTCTATATGTTTTTTTCCGAAACCTGCATAATACAAATACGTACTTTTGAAATATTGAGTATTTTGAAATTAAACCAAAGAAATGCAAAACTCGGAATGTAATACTAGTAATTGGTACAAAAGTGAGAAGGAAGTTAAAAACTCTCAAAACACTTGTAAAAACAAAACTGAATTGATATGAATACAAATTCATAGAAAATTTGATTATCAATATCTTTAAAATCTCGTAAAGATCAATGTCGGACAACACTATGAGCCCTCTCCAACAGATAAATGTATTAACCTGGGGGAAATAAATTTCACTCGTACAACGAAGTGATTTTCAGTCTTTGTAATTTTAAAACATATAATTATGAACTTAACATTTAGTAAGCATGTTTTACTGTACTTCTTTTATTTCATAATGAATGTCAACTATATGAAAACTCGTTTAAATCAAAGCACTTAAAAGAATGGTGAACCATTTTCTCTTTCTTCTCGATTACTGAAGCCTGTAAGCTTCTACTGAACAATTTATCTGGGTTCTTTGGAATTTCAAAGTAATATTTTCTGTCCTATTAGTTCTGTCCTATTCTTTTTTAGATATTAAAATGTTACCTCCGCAAGTTTCATTGTAATCAAAACAACAATCTCTGTTTCGTATGCAAATTTCATCACAGTAACAACTTCCTGTGTCTTCGCTGAACATAAGTAAACCTGTTGTAGAGCACGAGTTGTTCGTTCCTGGACAGCACATTCCAACAGTTGCACAAGGTGATGCTTAAAGACAATTACCAATATATATATATATATATATATATATATATATATATATATATATATATATATATATATATATATATATATATATATATATATATATATATATATATATATATATATATATATATATATATATATATACAAATACATGTACATTACCTGCTTTGTACTGAAGCACGCTTAGCGGTAATATTTCAACTGCAAAATAGGGGGGGGGGGGATAATCTTACCGTCTACTGGTGTTGGTGTTGATGTTGATAATGTTGAAATTTGTTCAGTAAGTCCTGTCAAAAAACATAAACATACAGCTTGTAAATGTAATTAAGTTGGTAAAGGACCAGTAGCCCATACTTCTTATTCACCCATGACAACATCCGGTTTTAAAACGAGGCTCTCAGCGCAAACAAATGTCGGCATATCATTGTTGTGTGCCACTTTGTACGAATGATTCTCGTTATGACGAGAAGAACCTCTTGTCGTTCCATCGATTTCCAAGTGACAACGAATTAAGAAAAGAATGGATCGTCAAAATTCGCCGTGATATAGGACGAAATAATTTCCAGGTAATGCTTTCATTTGCATCTTATAGGGCAACTATCACTATGCACTCGTGTAGGCCTATATCGGTACATGTTTATGATGCATGATGTGGCACATACAAACATGACAACCACAAACGAGTTTGATTTTTTCGTTGAAGAAATGTGTTCTGTTATAATTAATAATTTATTTCTATGCGGCTAACGCATTAATATTTTAAATATTAAATGAAATCTCACATAATGTGTACACTCCTATTGCACGTGTACAACAGAGTACAATACATTGTAAACGCACCTGACCTCGATACGGCGAAGAATATAACTAAAGTTCTCTTAGAGTATCAATAAATCAAAGAAAATTGCATCACAATGCCTCATGATGCCTCTCAAAAATAAAGAGATAACAGTGTTCAGATATACAGATATATAGATACATATACACATTATAAGCTGACTCTGGGAGGGGTGGGGTAGTTAGACAGTCAAATACACACATTTACTAATAAAAATAAGTTTTTATGGAAATCAAGTTAGGCTAAGTTGTTTGCATGTGTGCTTAATGTGTTTTCTATATTCAGATTACAAATAATGCCCTTGTGTGCTCTGCACACTTTGAAGATGCGGACATAAAGAGGACACTGGCAGGAAAGAGAAAACTTATCGCTGGTGCTGTCCCAACAAAATTTGCCTGGACAAAGACACCCGCAAAGCGCTTGGGACCACAGCGCAGATCAATGTAAGTTTTATTTAAATGAATTTATGTAAATATATCCTGTCCGTATGGACAGGTATATCTGCAGAACTAGTTCTAAGGGCATTTTTCAAATTAACCGATAGATACTGAAATTTTAATTCTCATAGAACTACAATTCTGTAGTAAATGTAATGAGCTTTTCAAATTATATTCATTAATTATTATGTAATATAATTATCTTGTGTTATAATTTAAAGTACATGTAGATTAGTTATGTTTGCACAAGCACCTAATTTTGTTTTTTTGATTTACAAGAACAAAATGATAAAACCTTTCTTCATATTATTAATTCAAAAGGAAATTTCTCAATTTGATTTTTCAGAATAAATTTAGAAAGAAAATTTAAAATAAGTCGACAAATTCTTTTGTCCAAATTTTCTCAACATGTAATCAGCACATAAAATCTGTACTTTGGTACTGTGTGTGCATATACTCTCAAAATGCCTGATATATATTAATAATCATCTTTAAATACAACTTGATGAATTGTAGTTTTTTAATTTTAATTTTCAGAGTCAAGATTGAAAAGGGTAAGGATGAAAATGTTATTGCATCAGACTCTGTACAAGTTCCACTGGCAACATTTGACCATGACTATGTTGTGCAACAGGAATCAGATTCTTCGAAACTTGAATCGGCTCAAGCAGAACTTAAGCGACTCGAGGAGGAGAACGCAGCTCTAAGAGAGGCAAAGTTTGGATTAGAACGATTTCACAATGACAACAACATGATAAATTTCTACACAGGGTTCAAAGATTACCAAACATTGAAAGCTGTGTTTAGTGCTCTCAAACCAACAGCTACAACTATGATTCGATGGACTCAGATGCAGAGACAGGGAGCAGATTTAGAAAAAGTCAAAAAAACAACTTTTAGTTCGGAAAGTCATCATCTGTCCCTGATTGACGAATTCTTTGTCTTCCTTTGTAGAATTAGACAAGGCTTCCCTGAACAAGATCTAGCGGTTAGATTTTGTGTGTCACAAACATCTATAAGCAGAATTTTGATCACATGGTCAAACTACCTGTATGCTATGCTTGGCAGTTTGCCTCTATGGCCTTCAAGAAGTGTTGTGAATAAGAACATGCCTGAAAGTTTTAGAATTACATACCCATTTACTCGTGTAATACTTGACTGCACTGAGATAAAAGTACAAACCCCTAGCTCAAAAGTTCTTAACTCACAGATTTACTCAAACTACAAAAGCCACACCACATTCAAGGGTCTTGTTGGTATTACACCCTGTGGAACTGTTTCATTCGTTAGCTCTCTATACACTGGAGGGATTTCCGACAAAGAAATCACAGCCAGATCTGGAATACTTGATCTGCTTGAAGAGAATGATGATGTCATGGCAGACAAGGGATTTTTAATATCTGATCTACTGCAAGCCAAGAATGCTGGCCTAGTTATTCCTCCTTTCTTAGGAGCAAAAGGGAAGTTTTCCAGGAATGAGGTTGCTACAACCCATGAAATTGCACGTCTTCGAATTCATGTTGAACGGGCAATCCGAAGGGTAAAGGAGTACCACATTTTTGACGGAGTAATTCCCCTGAATCTTGCACCATCAATCAACCAAATATGGACTGTGTGTGTTATTCTGACAAATTTTCGGGGAGCATTATATTAAGAAAACTACAAGAAATGAGTTAAAACATTATGTATTTTAATTATATTCAAATCTTATGAGTTTACATGCATTAGCATTTTTGCAAATCAGTAATTAAATCAATGCATATTGAAAACCTGATCATATATGTAAAATCTTTTATATTTCATAGTGATTCATACAAAGAAAAATAATTAAATAACATTTATCAATGTTTATTGTTTTGAAATATATTAAAGATTTAATAAAAGAATACATATAAATGTGTTTCAGTGAGAAATAAATTTTCAAAAGTGATTCCAAAGGTTACTATATACAGTGGGAAAAAATAATTTTAAATTTATCTTCAAATCATATGACTAGGAAAGATATTACAAATAAATTATATATTATGTAAACAATTATAATGGAAAGGAAATAGTTTTGCATTGATCCCACACAGTGTAGAATGATTTTAATTCAATTGCTGAATTGTTTTAACATAAAATATAAATTTATGCATTTTATATAATCTGTAAATGGGTTCATGTGTTCACATTAAGTTTATTTTGACTATACAATTAATATTATAATAAGAGTGACACATTCAGTTAATATTAGTGCTACAATCATACATAAACAATTATTTGTTCTACAGTAACAGAAAATATTACATGCATGTATTTGTTAGAATCCATGTCAAATAAAATTAACAACACAATGTACATGCTGCTTTCACTGTTTAATCTTTGTGACATATTTGTGGAAGCATTTCCTCAAAGTAGAATTTGTCCAAAGAAGACTTCATTGAATCCCATTTGTCCTGATCAAATGATATTCGTTCCATGTGAAAATCATGTCTACACTTGACAAAAAAGTCACACCATTTCAGTCCAGTTAGTGCCATTTGGCCAATGACCTGGAAATAGTAACCGTGACTGGTCCTCAGTTTAAATGAATGATTGTTCTTGTTCTGTACAAGATATCTACACTCTGTAAACGAGTCTTTGCTCGGGCATTTTATTTCAAGGAGTCCATACTCTGGAATTGCATTTGGATCAAACACTTTCCTATCCGGTGATGTGCCGAGATATGGGGCACTAGGGTTTATCACAAACCCACACAGGTAGACACTATTGCCTGTTATCTCGCTATAGGTTTTTGCAGCAGCTGGCTCATTTTCTATGCCGAATTTCATCTGAGCCGTCATTATGTTTTTAGACTTCAGAAGTCTGGAAGCAAGAGCTGCAAAGTCTGATCTGCGCGAACAAACATCCTTAAACACTGAAGATGTAATTCGGTTTTTTCTGACATCATGCCATGTTTTGTTGTGACTTTGAAGTCTTGTTTGCTCCTCCACTTCTCTGCTGGTTGTTTCAGTGACGTGCATTCCTAGTAACATGTTTAGTTGATTCTCAGGCAAAACTGCATTGTAGGCCTGTTGTAAATTTGGACATGGAAAATTGGGATAAATTACATCTGGATGGTTAAGTATGTCTGTGATTGTTGAGTTTAATTTCTGTTGGTATGACAATGGGCATCCAAAGGGTACTGGACCAAATGTTGATTCTGCTGTACGTGTTGAAGTGGAGGGCAGAATTTTGAGAATCTAGAGAAACAAATTACTTATAAGTATGTGTATAACATCGTACAAAAATACAGTATTTTTCAAAATGCTGTAATTTTATATACTTGTGCTAAAATTGCTAACTTTTTAAATAACACAATTCTTTTCTAATAATTAATGCAATTACTTTGTTACATGGTACAAGTGGTTTATGGTTTTTAAACTTTAAAATAATTAGTTTACCTGCGCATCACTTCCAACAGACTTCAAGTTCAAGATCAACTGCTGAGAGAAATCTGATGAGATGGGTTTCTCAACAGGGCAGTAAATGTTGGGTAGAATGCCTTCAGTGACCCTCTTTTTCTTTTTGGGAGGACCCTGTTGTGGTTTGATTTTAGAAATTTCTAAACTATCCACAGATTTCGGAGCAAGTCCTTCCACTCTACTGGGAATATGCCATGTTTGTGGCAGTGATGTCTTGCTCTGGACTGGTGGAACAGCTGTAAATGTGTAACAAATGTGATAGAAACAAGAAATATAATCAAGCATGCATATAAATACTCTTATTGTTAACTGTACAGTGTGTGAATTTCATTGTACTGAAATGTTATGAGCTCAAATTTTGTACAAACCTGTTAGTCCAAGTTTCTGGTAATGGGATACCAGGTAGAGAAGACCTAAAGAATGGCTGCAGTGTCCATTCCCTGCTTTGCACTCACATTCTGAACCAATGATTGTAGAGGCATCTGCTGATATTTTCACCTGGATATATATGAATTGATTTTTAAAATTGGATTCTGTTATATGAGATAAAATACTTCTTAATAAGTAGTATACAAAATTTTCAATGAAAACAATATATGTATTTCCCGATTTATATTAAGAATTTTTTTTAAATTCAAAAATATTTTTAAAAATAAAATATTAGAAAAAATTAAGTAGTATTAAGTTTACTAAATGTTTAGTCTGTAATACACCAACTCAAGTTATATTTTTTTATTTGATAGAATCTGTCTATAATTAAATGTTATAGATTGCTATGAATGGTAACAATTATACATACATCAATCAGGGATGCATATATACTAAGTATTTTAGTATTAGTATATACATGTACTTCCCTGCATCAATCAATCAATTAACGATCAATCAATAATCAAATTTTGACCTAGTTTTAATGTTGGTACATATACATGTATTTATATATATTTATGTCAATTGAAATTATAGCTATGAGACAGAATCATATTTAAAACAAATTAATCATTACAGTTATGTACTAATCATTAAGATCAAATATTATTATCAGTATTGATACATGTATATGTGTTCATAAATATATATTGTGATGCTAAATGAAATTCTGGAGAGGAAAAAAAAAACACAAACAAACAAAGTAAACATAAGTTCAAAGAGAATAAACAACTTGAACACCATCAAACCATTTGAGTATAAGGTGGGTTGTTTTTCCTCATGGATGGATACGCTTTCGATCTGATAAAAATCGTCTTCCCAACAGCCTGGACTTTATTTAAAAGTTTAAACATAAAGTCTCTTCCAAACAGATTACTAGTATATACTGATGGATCGATCGATCGATCAACACTTAGTGATTACTGATCGTCGATTTTTCTAACGTATATAGTCTGGTTAGATTTAACAATCGCAGTTTATGAATATTATAAGTGTATACCATCAAGATATGGTTTTCAGAAAGAAAAAAAGTATCGTTAGGCTACTCCAATAATACGATAACATATCACTATCAGATATAAGTATAAGATAGATATAATAGATCACAAACCTTCTACGTTGTGTATGTACCCTTCGATGAAATTTGAGTACCCCTTGATTTGTTTCGCTCTTGGTATGCGAGCTACGCTGTTGGCCCATTCATCAATTTTACTCTGCGAAACGCAGGGCATAAGACTTAGATTTTGGTTCCATTCGTTTAGTTTCGTTTTACGCACCTCCATTGTTTGCGCTGTCAGCCTCGTTCTCGTTTCTAAATGGCCGCGGCGTGAATAACAAGTATTATCATCTACAGACAGATAGCCTTAGTTAAAACTTATAAAGGCATATTGCGTTTGACCTAATTAGAACTAAGGCGCAATGAGTGGTGTAAATCTCGAAGCAAGGTAACCATACATAATAAATGATGATCATACTTACATAAACAGCTTTGTATTGCAGAAGTATTGGACAAAAGAAAAGTTTCAAATGTATAGTAAATATTTAGATTATGACCATCTTAGCCCATTTTCCTGCCTTTAACCTAAACTAAGGGGATATGATTATTGGCAACTTTAGTAAACTTTAATCATGCAAATTATATGTCAGCTTAATGTCTAGGAATAAAGTCAAAATAAAGACAAAATTTTTCACAGATGTTTGGTGATTTTTCAATTTATATCATCAGATCCACCTTGTAATTGAACCTTGGACTTACATGTAAGTTTCATAGTTCATTTAAATCATATAATACGTCTGTTTGATAAATGTCAGTGAGAAGAGATGGTTTCGCAAGATTGCATCGTGTGGACCATGAATTTCGTACTTTCATCTCCCTTTCACAAAAAAATACTAAATACCAAAGTAAGTAATTACTTTAACATGTCCAGTTAATGAAAAACCATTCACAATTTATGAGAAAAAAGGCGTTTATAGAGTTAACAAGTCTTACGCTAGAAATTTTGCGGTACCCTTGTGTAGAGGTTTCAAGTCCCCGTCAATTCTCATTCGGAAGTCACTTGGAATTACTTCGAAGTAATTGGAAGCATTTGGAATTACAAGTACTTCCTAGTCATTTGGAAGAATTTCATTTGGAAGAATCTGAACGCAATTTAGAATCTATTCGTAACCACTTGGAAGTGCAGAGATGAAACTTAGTCTATATATGTAATGTTATCAGCTGATTAGGATCGAGATCTTGTCTCATGCTGGATCGACCGTGGATTTCGAAATCATTCACATCGAGGGAGGATTGATCTTCTATGTAGTGAACGTAATACAGTGGAGATGGTTTACATCTTTTAAGTGTGTGACTCCTCTACTGGTGTCTTCAATTTATGTTGCACTTCTCTTGGGAAAACAGTTAGACAGTATCAGATTGATCATTGTTGAAACTGTATGAAAAGTGTTAATATTTTTTTTTTTTGGAATTATTCGTCATCTCGATACATGCCAGTTGATAATACAACGTGCTCGACTTTTATTACTTCCGTGAACCCAGGAAATACCTAAATTACCGGCATTCTTTAATTGTGAGTTGGATATGAATTTTGTAAAAATTAATAATAATAATAATAATTAATAAATAAATAAAAATCAGTCAATGTTTTAATTAGAACAGTTTTACAGGATAATCTTTGACAGGAAGGTTTTGTCTTTTCCGAATACAATGAATAAAACAAATCATTAAATGACGCGAGAAGAATAGTGTTTTGTATTGAATATATTATCAAATCGCTGGTTGTTTGTTATCCTAACAACATTTTTAAATACAAGCCAATGGAACCTTGCTTTAATTTGTTGAATCACAGTAGTTTTAGTGATTTGGAAGTAATTTTTTAAGTCCATTGGAAGCACTTTGGAAGTCATTTGGAAATTTCTAGAAAAACATGCGTTTTCGTCATTTGGAAACAACTTGGAAGTAATTTCGAAGTCATTTGGAACCATTTTCGAAATTTGTCCAATACTGGTGATTCGGAAATTCTAAATAAAGTTTTCTAAGTGATTTACTTGGAAATTCCAAATGCAACGTAGAACTTCTACACACGGGAATCATGCTCAGTCTTCAAGGTCTTAAGATGGATGTTTTGCGTTTTTTCATCAGAAAAAAATAACGCAATTTCAACAAAGCATACAATCATAATTGAGGATTGTTTTCTTAGTAGAAAATATATTTGCATGAACTATTTTTCTGGTATGAAAATCGAGTAAAACTGATAACTCGAAAACATACTTTATTACGAGTTTTAAAAAAAGTATACAACTATCTATTGTTAAGAAATAAGCTTGCATTTGTTGATAAATCTAGCATAAAATGTTTCAAGTATTTTATTTGATATTTGCTCAATTTTAGTTTTTAAAATACTTACCCTGAAGAAAACAATTTATAAAACTTTCCTTTTAAACAGATATATCATTTAACATACACGAGATCTTAAAAGGGAAGTTTTTTTTATTTACTAACTATTTAAAACTTATACATTATACATGTGTTAACTGTCGCTCCTAAAGTTCATTAATTTCCAGCCAATCTTTACAAGGACATTGACACTTTGTCAGAATGGATTAAATGTATCAGATGTATGTTAAAATCGCGCATTAAAAGATTGAGGGGCAATATGAAAACCATCTATCCTTCTGTATTCAATAATCCAGAAGTGAAAAAAGAATTAGATAAATTACATGATCAGTACGTACTGGTCCCTGCTGACAAAGTAGGTAACAACATTGTCTTTGTTTGTAAGGCTCATTATATTAAATGTATTTTAGAGGAACTTGGATTAAATTCTACAAGTGGTAATCCAACTTATACTCTTAGTTCCCTTTCTAAGGAAGACATTCTTCAAAATTATATGTCAGTTTTGAATATTTTTAATATTTCAAGCAACCAAAATGAATTTGAATTACCATATTTATATTGGATTCCAAAACTTCATAAAAATCCTTACAAAGATACATAGCGGGTTCCAGTAAATGTTCAACCAAGCCTCTTTCTTTACTCCTCACTAAGATATTAACAGTAGTGAAGGAGAAACTTCAAGAGTACTGCGCAACAATATATTCGAGAAGTGGTGTAAATCAGTTGTGGATACTTAAAAATTCCAAGGAACTTTTGGAAAATTTGAAATCACAAGATTTTACCAAAATCAACAGCTTAAAAACTTACGAATTTTCAACTTTATACACAACTATTTTCCACGATAAATTAAAGTCCAGGCTTTTTGATATCATTGACAGCTGTTTTTTCAATAAAAAATGGAACTCGTAAATTTACTTTCCTTGTCATTGGTCATTTGCAAAATTATTTTGTTAAAAAACATTCTGATTGTACACACAAGTACTCTGAAGTTGACATTTAAAAGATGCTTGAGTTTCTGATTGACAATATCTATGTGGTTTTTGGAGACCAGATCTTCCAACAATCTATAGGAATTCCCATGGGTACCAATTGCGCCCCGTTATTAGCAGACCTTTTTTGTATTCATATGAAGCAGAATTTGTCCAAAATCTTGTACATGAAAAGAAGAAAACACTTGGTGTGGCCTTCAACTCGACATTTAGATATATCGACGATCTATTGTCAATTAACAATGGCTATTTCCATTCTTATGTCGATACGATATATCCAGGTGAACTTGAGATAAAAGGTATCACATAGTCTGACACATCTGTTTCATATTTGGATATTTTACTTGAAAAAGACGTCAGTGGTAATCTAACAACCAAGCTTTATGATAAACGTGATGACTTTAACTTTTCAATCGTCAACTTCCCTTACTTATGCAGAAATATAACTTCATCACCTTCATACGGGGTATATATCTCTCAGTTGATTCGATACGCAAGAGCATGCTCTACGTATGTATAATTTCTAGAAAGAAGTAAATTATTGACAAACAAGTTGATGAAACAAGAATATCAGCTGTCTCGTTTAAAGTCACCATTTCGTAAGTTCTATGGTCGATACAATGACCTTGTCAGCAAATACAATTTATCATTGAGTCAAATGCTGGCTGACGTTTTTCATACTAATTGTTAGGCCATTATTTACACACTGAATTGTCGACGAATTTTTTTCTTATTTCCCATCATGACAAGGAGCACACGGCGGGTGTGACCGGTCGGCAGGGGATGCTCACTCCTCCATGGCACCTGATCCCACCTCTGATGTTTGGAGGTCCGTGTTTGCTCTGCTCCTATTTTGTATATTGTTTAATGGACTTTTGAGCTTGAATACTGTTCGTTATCTCCATATATTTCATAGACCAAGACCAACTTTGAGTCAATTTATAGATTGTTAGATAACTGTGAGCTATATCCATTGTATAAAAGAGTAAACATATGCTAAAACGACATCTCGGTATTTTACCATATGACAACACTAATCAAACGTCATTATATTTCTTAAACATCAGTACAAAATTGGACTGTCACTTACGACTATATATGTAATAACAGGTTCTGGAGATCTTGGAATCACCATTTTAATTTGCAATAGGTATTGTCATTGAAATAAATTGTTCCCCGAGTGTGAAAAATTAATGTTTCTATGAAACAGTTAACATTGATAAGGAGTGAATCTTTTAGGTTTAGATTTTTATAATAAAAACGAAGTGTTTATCTTGATCACTGTTAAATGTATTTTTTATCATCTAATAGACAAAGGTATATGAATTATTTCTCAATGAGGTATTCTTCATATTTGTAAATCATAATAATTAACAAGACAAAGTTGAAATGGTTCATTGCATTTATAGAAAAATGAAAGATGTTCTCCAATTTAGGAGAGTTTGCAAAGATATTTTTCATATAGAAAATCAGTTTCAAATTTGAGTGATGAAATGATGAACGAAACTCACCGGAAAGCAGAACAAACAAGAGTATTGTTTGTTTTTCACCCATCATCTACTTTCCAATTATCTAAATGAAAAGTGAAAGATTGTACAGATTAAAATATTTTTAAAAAAATATAAATAAATAAAATCTTTGCATACGTGTCAATTCGTTCTTTGATAGTAGCAAAGTTATATTGACATCTAGGGAAAGTAAGTAAATAAAATCAAAAAATGATAAAATGTCTGAAAGAACAATATTAATTAACTAATATTACAAGTAACAATACCATAATGATCATGAATCATGAAAAAAATCAGCACGCGATATTTCAATCCGTAAT